CAGGGGCCTGGGGTGACTGGACAGTAAGTCACCAGGCATTTACTCATCTCCAGATCATTCTGGAAGCACAGTGATCTCCTTAAACCCAGATTGTTGTTCCTTCTCCTTCACCTCTACCCAGATATGTGACAGGTTTTCAATGAACTGCTAAATGCTGGTTCCTGTCCATGTGCCTGTGCGTGTCTTCCAGGGACATGAGGGCCGAATCCTTCAGCAACTTGCTAACTATCTGGAAGAGGTTCAGTGTGGCGATCTTGATGGTGCCCAGCAGGGTCTTCTTGGAGTCAGTGTTCTGGACGTGCACCCAGTGAGACTCCCGGGTCATGACGTCGCCACATGCAGTGGACGTGCATCTGCTGCTGCGCCAGCTCGTGGCTGTGCTGCAGGATCGTCCTTCTCCTCCACATTGCGGACCAGCTCTCGATCCTCGCCTGGCCATCTTGCGCCAAGGGCACGAGGTCATCTCGCAGCACAGTTACCTCATGGATGTCCTCAAACTGTCTAGAAATTCAGTTTTCAGAGTTTTAACACCACCTTATAGCTGTCAAGAGTACAATCCAGACCGGCAGGCCGGGTCCTAGCTCTGCGCTCCTGACTGTGCGTTTAGAGCTTCCGGAATCCAGTCAGCATGACTTTTCTTAGATACAAAATGGATTAATAATGCCTTCCACGTGGGGTGGCTGTGAGACTAGGACAAACCAATGAAACGCTTGCTGTTGTGGAGTGCCACCGAGTCAGTTTAGACTTGTACTCACTCCATGCAACAGAGCAGAATTGTCCCTTGGGGTTTTCTAGGTTGTGATCTTCTGCCCATGGAATCAAGGTCTTCCACCAGGCCTTCTGCCCCGGGAGTCACCTAAACTGTCCACCTTTTACTTAACAGCTGAGTGCTTACTTGTCCTACTGTCAAGAAAGCCTTGCACTGTGTTTCACTTTTGGAAAATCTGGTTTTTAAATATGGATAATAACAAAAGAGACATTTTTAAAGTTTAAATGCCTTCATGTTAAAAGTCTAAAAATTTTAAGACATTAGGATGTGAAGGGTCATCAAAACAAATCCTAATTTTACAACTATTTTAAGAGCGGGAGCAGCCACAGGTCAGAGGGTCATGTTACTGCTGCGTTCAGGATTCTGCCTCTAGGAACAAGCACGGCCTCAATTTCATGGCAAAAGCTCATGCTGTTAGTGATCACAGTGACTGAGATGTACTCATTGCAAGAAAAGGAAGAATAGGAGAATGTCTGGCAAAATTGTAGCTCTAAACATAGGATAAAAGACAAACCTGACTCTCCAGTGATTTTAAGAGAATAGTAAGCTTCATGAGTTAAATCCCAGCAAGTGAAACAGCTTTAAGGTGAGGACAGAAAAGCCTTCTCTTATCTAGTAAAGATGTGCAGTAAATCGCTGGTCTAAGAACTATGAGAAACAACAATAGTTATAGAAAGGCTTCAGGTCTCTTGTTCATAGGGTTGCTATGAGTTGTGCTCGACTCGACAGCAATCAACAACAACAACAACAACAACAACAACATGGCATATCTAAGTGTACATCTCAGGGAGGAATGTACTAAGATTTTCTAGGTGAGTTTGATCTAAACTCAACAGTGGAATACACAGAGCCAAGTAAAAGGAAAATATCAAAGAGAGCTTGGAGACCAGGACCAAGCCTAGGGAAGAAGGTAGCCACAGAATAAACTTGTTTTTGTTGTGTACTGTTGAGTTGGAACCGGCCCACAGCTGACCTTCCAGCGGGTTTTCAAGAGCAGTTAATCTCACAGGAGGCAACTGCCCATCTTTCTCCTACAGAGCAGCGGGTGGATTTGAACTGGTGTGCCTTTGGGGTTGTAGTGCAGATTCTTACCACTAGGCCACCAGAGCTGACAAATCACACTCTAATGAGACAGAATCTCCATGTAGAAAAGGAGTGGATTTAAGGAAGTAGAGAAAAATGTGTGTGCTAAAAAAAAAAATCCTAGATAACAAATTATAGCAGGAGCGGCATCCACTTCCAAAATGGCTTGCCTCCGGAAACTCTATGTATGAACAGTGCTCAGGCTGTTCGTTCATAGGGTCGCTATGAGTCGTCTACGACTCGACGGCATTAAACAACAACAAACAACAAATTATATAATCTATACATACCTGTACCTCAAGGGCATTATGTAATCTCATATTTACTTATACACAAATTTGTATGTAATGAATATTCTGAGAAAGCTTATTCCATAAATGATAAACTATTTAGTCAGGAAGAATTTAGTAACTTTTTAAAATAACATGACTAAGAAAAATGAAAGGAAAATATTGGTTCTAACCTATTTCAGTTATATAGATTCATAAACTGCATAACACCCATGATTAATGGATTGCTGCATATTGTTGGAGGACATTTCTAGTATTATACTGCCAGATTATATATTTTTTTTGCATTATTATTAAGAAATTTTGTTAAGATATAGAAAACAGGTTTATAGAGTATTATCAGTAAAAAAAAGGCTGAAAGAGAAGATGATTTAAACAATATCATTAGAAATTGAAAATAGGGGTGGTAACAAAACCAGAACAAAGACATGTGCCACTAGAACAGCTACTGTCATTAGCAACTAACCTCTCTTGACTCTAATTTCAGTGAGCCAGGGGTTTTACAAATTTACTACAAGAGCAAATTGGACACGAGGCTGTGAGAACTTGCATTCAAAACAGAGGTTCAGTTACAACACTCAGTGCTGAAAGGCTCCATCTGGAAATGCTGTTATAAGAAGGTAAAAGGATATGATGAATACAGAAGAGTTGGCAGAACACACAGTCTTCAAATAATCCAGGAGCTGAAACATAGGAGATGTGATTTTTCTTCCCCCAGTTTCCTTAGACCACAGAACTGTTTTCAATTTTGGCTCACAAAAGAGTAACTTTGTAACACCTTTACTCAGAACAGTAAAACGAATTCATTTGCTAGTGAATTCATTTCCTCTTTGCTGAGAAGACTTCAGGTAGATGAAGACTAGTCATCTGGCCAAGATAATAGAGAGGAGTCTTTGAGTAGAAGAATAGAGTTAGTGATGTCAAAGATATCTTAGGTTTCCCAGAAAACAATATAAATCAAGGGGTAGGTTCAGCAAGTTTACTAGGGAGGTGGTACCAGGAAATAAGTGGGGACAGTGAAACAGAGGGGAAAAGAGCCAATAAAGTAGGCTAGTGAGTGAGAGCTGTGTGCAGCCGGGCCTCAGTCTCTCTGGAAAGTATTAAGAGAACTGTGTAGATGCATCTCGGAACTATTCTTCCCAGAAAGAAGACTGGAATAGTTATTTATCAAGTCAAAAAACGCCACTGTCTGACGGCTAATTCTGAGGGTACTGACTCCTCACTTTCCAGGAAGCTGGCTCTGACTCAGAAACGAAGCATTGCTGGGTGATGAGGTAGGTGCTGTCAGCACGCAGGAAACTGCCCAATGCAGTCATTACTGAAACACTGAGGACATGACACGGGGCAAGTCTTTGAAATACTTTCAAATTCTTGGAACTCTGCTTAGAAAAGCCTGAAGTGCCTCAGCTCTCTTCCATCATCACTACGTATCAAACATTTGCAGAAGTTACAAGTGCTGAGAATCAGTGAGACCCTGTACTTTGATACAGGCCAACAATTTCACATCAAATGCTGTGCTAGAGTTGAAAATACCCCAATATCCACCCTACACCGTTGATTCTGACTCGTGGTGACCTTGTACATCACAGGAGAACTGCCGAAAAAGCATTTCTAGGGCTGTAAATCTTTACAGAAGCAGACCATCTTATCTTTGCTTTTCTGATGAATAGTTAGTTGGTAGATAAGGATTGCTAATCTTTTAGTTTGCTGCTGATTTTGCCATTGTTTCATCAGAGTTGAGAACAGATTTAAAATAAAAACCCCATGAGCACAAAAACAACTTTATTATCCCACAACCAACCAAACCTCCTGAAGAATCAAATGAAGCTTTCTGCCCACAGGGTGACTGACTTATTTTGACTGATTCTGTCATATTGTCTTCTTTCACAAACTACATCTCTGAAAATTGGATAAACTTAAAAATTAATATGTCCTAATTTTCCAGTGACTGTTTTGGGGGTATATCAATCAATGGTGTTTCTTACATGCAGTGGTATCTTAGATTTTATAAAATACATTAATTATTCCTGATATTTTAAACTTAAACTGATATATACTATTAATCTACAATGTTACACTATTGACATTTTGCAAAATAATTCCCTAAAAGAATTTCTTATAACCAAAGCTTAAATAAGCCTAATGTTAACACATTTTTAAGAGAACAAAAAAAAATTTAATAATGTTGTTGTTATGTAGCTGTCAAGTCCGAACTGATTCATAGCTGACTATCCAGTGGGTTTTCGGGGGCAGTACACAGCAGCACGGGAAGAGACTGCCTATCCTTCTCCAGTGAAGCAGCTGGCATATTAGAACCACAGTCGTTAAGGTTGGCAGTGCAGTTCCTTACTACTGATGAAATAAGAATCTTTGTAAAACACTGGTCTAAGGAACTATTATTATTCAAAATGACTGATGATTAGTGACAAGACAAAATAAATGAACAGGTAATAAGTAAGACTCAAAGGTAATATTCAGTTTAGATTTCCTGAGAGAAGTTATCCAAAAGATGGAAGGTTCAAGTCTACTGAGAGGTATATTGAAAGAAAGTTCTCACAATCTAGAAAAATCAGCCACTGATTCCAAAACCCTATGGAATATAGTTAAGACTCTGACACATGTGAAATCACCATGACTTATAATCAACCCAACAGCTACTGGCTACTAGTTGTGTAATATAAAACTAAAGTCAGGGATACAAAATGACTTGACTGAAAACACCCAGTTGGATGGGAAAAATCCTAGTCAAAACTATGAAAGTCATAGAGAAGAGGACAGGCCAGATTTTCAGGTACTACTGAACCTTTTTTTTTAATGGAGACAACTATCTACAAGAAACAAGCAAATTAAAATATTACCTCTACAGCCTCCCAGGCCCACTTCCTGTACTTTGGATCATGAGTCAGTCGCCACATGTACATGTAAGTCTCAACAACTTCTGGTCGCAGGATGTAGTACTTTTCATTTTGCCTCGTAGCAATGGCTTCAACACCACCATCAAATCGGAAAGCTTCTGGTCCCAATTTCATATCTAAAGGACAGGAAAGGATGACAAAGCTTACTACAGTTTTGGATAACAGTGTCTGTAACTTAAAAGTAGAGCACACTTACATTAAACTAAGAGTACTTAAAACATTCACCCCAAATGCTAAAAATTATTTTAATGATGGCTTAGTCCCAAGGAAGTTTTGCTGTTAACTTAAAAAAAAATGCCTCTCCTATAGTCCAAATCAACCAGTGGTTTCTGGGAGAAATATGGACACACTCTACCCTGCAATTTACTGCCTCAGGAAAGCCCAATTGGGTCAGCTATGAATTTGTTCCAACTGTACATTAATGAGGTGAAGTTAAACTTCACAAAATTTATAACACTAAATGTATATTAAAAATGTAGTCATCTGTAAGAGTCTATTTTAGAAAATGGTAACAAATCTTATTTGTTTATTCATTGGTATTTAATCAGCATGTACTGAAAAGCCACCAGGTAGAATTCCAAGTTCAAAGTTGAGTTTGGGGTATGTCTTTGAGTTGGGACTGTTTTATAGCTGACCCTTCAGTGGGTTTTCAGAGGCTGTAAATCACACAAGAGGAGAAAGTCCATCCTTCTCCCACACAGCAGCAGGTGGATTAGAACCATGTGTCTCTGGGACTGCAGCACAATTTCTTAATACTAGACCACCAGAATTCTTTGTGTAACAAAAGGTTAGCTATTTAATAACATGCTTCAACCTCCTCTAAAGAAGAGGGGCAGTCAGATACATGATGTATTTCATAGGAACACTGAGGAAATTATACTATGACCCAGATTCTGGCTCAGCATTATTTACTCAAGTCATATGTCAATAATAAGTTAGATTGTCTTAACTCTTTACGGACAGAATTTCTGCTTCAATGTAAAGATGTGTCCATATTTGAAAAAAGTGCCTTTTGAGACAAACATATAGATTCCTTTATGGTATTCATTGTTATGATCAAACACATAGCATGTTCTTTTAATGGTAGCAAGGAAAAAATTCTTTAGTGCATTAAAAAGAAAACCCACAACAACATGTAGGTATAGGAGGCTAATGAAGAGCAGTATATACTTACACGTGCGATTGTAAGACTCATGACAGGTTCGGGCAATTTCAGCCCCGAGCTCCAGATAGTGCTGGGCCAAACCTGGGGGAGCCCCCTCAGCCCCCAGTGCAAACATGCCTCCAGCGAAGCAGGTCAAGTGGCCCATTTTGTGCTCAAGGAGGCCCCCTTTCCACTCAGCGATGTATGTTAGTCCCCCGCTAGACTTGCGGATCAAGTGAGTCTCAATTGCCTGAAAAAGACGACTTGCTTATGCATATTCTGTAGCTGAATTGACAAGCAAATTTATCCCTTTTCCCATTATAATAAAAATATTCCCCATAGTAAGCAAACAAAACCAGAACTTACAATTAGAGTTTGGTGCTACAAAACCAATGTGATGTTTTGCTTTTCTGTATTTGTTTGCTACATCTCTACATTATTATTTTTGTTAGTTAAAGTTAGCGGTGGGATTGAGGATGCAAATGCTTGGTTCAATGGTCAATTATAGTCCTCATACCCAAAAGCTGCCCCTTTTAAAGACAGGCCACCATCTTATACACTGTTTGTGAAACTGTAAAATGGTACAACTCTTCTGGAAGACACTTTGGTGTTTCCTCAAAAAGTTGAACATAAAAACTCCATATGACACAGCTATTCCACTACTAGGAATATACTCCAAGGAAACCAGAACTGAGACACAAATACACCAATGTTCATAGCAGCGTTATTCACCATCACAAGAACATGGAAACAGCCCAACTGTCCAAACATAACTGAATGGACTGAGAAATTGTGATACATTCACACAATGGAATACCATACAGCACTTAGGAGCAATGATTTTGAAAAATATTACGTAACATGAGAGATACCGATGAACTAATGCAGTCTCATGTAGACAAACACTGCATGAGACCATTATTATAAAAACAGAAGGATAACTAGTAAAACATGGACAGGAACTCAAGGGGGGAGATGGGAGAGTGGGATGATGATAGGATTGAAACCACAGGGCTGCACTGCACAGTTTTGTGGGTCGTGGGAGTGAGGGGGGAAGCAAAGAGAAGGATCCAGGAAAAAAGGGTAATGATGGGCAAGGTCCAATGCTGACTGATTTATAAAAGAAAGTGCATGAAAATGATTGATGAAACACGGTGTGAATGAAGAATAGTGTGAAACACATGTATATAAACTTTGTAAGCAAACCAATTAAAAAAATAAAATGTGGAAATAAAAGAATTCAACAACAATAACAATAAAACCACAAACAAACAAACAGGCCCTAGAGCAGTGGTAACTATTGGTTCAATGCATTTCCATTTGAGAAATAACACAAAATACAAGAGCTACCTGTGAGTGAAGAACAGAGCATATTTGTGCACAAAATGAAAGCTAATGGCATAACTTGGATGGGAATCATCAACCAGAAAACTGCCTTATACCCTAAGGTTTAGCAAAACAGAGCAGTAAAAGGAGATGCTTAGAAACCAGACAGCTTGGCTTCATATAACAGATCTGACACAGGCTAGTGTGAGGTGTGTGGGTAATGTTTACTCTAGGGAGTTCTGATGGTCTAGTAGGCAGGGTTTGTGCTGGTAACTCAAAGACAGGTGTTTCAGTCCCCTAGGTGCTTCAAGATGGGCAACATCCTCCCGAATGATTTACTGTCTCTGAAAACCCATTTAGAGGGCCAGTTATGAGCCAGTTCTGACTTGACTCATTAACACATCACAACAACAACAGTCTCTAAGTCTCAATATCTTTATATATGATCTGTAAACAATAGTAGTTATCAGAGAGTATTTCAAAAGCAGTAAGTATTATGGCTAACACTTGATAAATCTAGTTTATCATTACCATTTACATCTCTATTGTGTTAACACTTCACAATAATCCTATCAAAACACATGGTATATAATGAAAACATATTTTTAAAAAAAGAGTGAAAATGTTTACACTTGAAAGGAGTGGTAAAGTTTACAAAAATGATTCCTAAAACATCTTTTATTTCTGTCATAAGACTATTAATATTTTCACCAAGAGAAAATAAAATCTTGTATTTTCAAATATGAAGGTGTTTACAAATAGTAACATACACCTACTTTAACTAGAACTCTCCCCTCAGCAATTGATTCTTCTAGAAAGAAATAGATTATAACTGTGTCCATATTTCTTATACTATTACTCAAAAAGAAAAGGGTTTTTTTAAAAACGCATATATAGGAACAGGGATACAAAAAAAAATTTCAATACAGAAAATGAATACACAGGCAGGTAAGATAAAACCTTCATTACCTTTTATAAAAAAATAAACAAAAGATATCAAGATTGTAAGAAATAAATGAACATACCACTTTGCTCATTATCTGGGGTTAAAGCAATTTTTTTATGGTCTGGTTATCACATTAATACTTCCTACTTATTTAATGTGACAGAGCATCTTGGCTATTTGCACTTCTCATATCACAAATTACAATAAAGTCTTTCGAGCAGATACTTGTTCACCACCCAAGAAATTATTCTTTCTACATGGCAAGAGTAATAGCTTCTGAGCATGGATTAGAGAAACGTTGTTATCCTGTTATAAATCCTGACTAAAGTACTCTATTATTCCTGGTATGATTCTGATCAAGTTGCTACTTCTTAAAGTAAACAACATGAACCTCCAAGACCTCTGAAACTGTGGCCTTGTGTGGCAATGACTGACTGGCTCACTGACAATGAATCAGAGACAAAGAGCCAGGTTAAAGCTTAAAAGTACTTTGCTGTCGAAACAAAGGAAAGATACCTCTTTGGGATTAAATGCTTTGCAAGATCCAATTTAACGCTAAAACAGAATAATCTTACCTTGAATAGTTCAACTATCCAAAAACATTAGTGTAAGTGATCCTTTGTTTGAGAACTGGGATCTTACTTTCTTGGTAAATTATAGTAAAAGAAATATAAAAGAAAATGTTGTTGTATACCACTGAGTCAGAGCCAACTCATAGCTGACCCTCCCATGGGTTTTCAGAAGCAATTAAATGCACAAGAAAATACAGCTCATCCTTCTCTGTGGTGATTCCAACTGCTTGCCTTTGGGACTGCAGTTCAGCTTCTCACCCCTAAGCCACCAGACGGCCTTTAAAAGAAAATGTACTACCATTTTTACACCCATTGGTTTCCAAAATTTTCCACTACCTCAAACTGAAACTCTGAACATAGTTAGCAGTAACTCTCATTCCTCCTTTTCAAGGTCATGTTGCTGTTATGTTCCATCCAGGAGGAAGTGACTCATGTTGACCCTCCAGCAGATTTTCAGAGGCTGTAAATTGTATGGAAGGAGATTTCCCACCTTTCTCCTGCAGAGCAGCTGGTAGACTTGAACTTCGTGCTTTCTTTATGAACTTGTATGCTCTAGATGTCCTATATAAATGGAATAATTCCATATTTGTCTTTCTCTAGCTGGCTTATTTCACTTAACATAATGATTTCAAGGTTCATCGATACCACAGTGAGGTGTCAGAACCCTTGGAAATTGGCTTTCCTATCCACTGTGCTAGCCTAGTTGGGGGCATGGTCTCCAGCTATCTTATCTTACCTGTGGACATATGGCCAGATCATCAACAACTGATATTAGACAGCACTTTCCACAGTGGTGGGGGAGAGAGACTATGGCACTGCTGTGAAGAGATTGTGGCAAGGTGTAACCAGGGGAACCCTGGACATGTTAAAGGTTTTAGAGCCTTGGAGCCACAGTTAATGGCTTTACCTGCTGGATGACGGAAGGAAAAGCGGACTTGTAACTACTTTGAGATAAAGTTTGCTGGTCTAATTGAGGAAATCAGGAGTATTTGTGCTGCTGAGCTGACCCTAGATTTTCACTTGTTGACCAAGAAGCTGTCTGAACTAACTGTTAATCTGGGTGGGACTGCAGGACTAACCCTGGACTTGCACTGTGATATTCTTTGCCTCTGCTACTCCCTAACCTAGTTCCTTAATAAATCCCACACATGAGTAAAGTTTGTGAGTTGAGTTGAAACAAACATTGGACCCTGTGATTGGTAGAATTATGTGCAGGAACATGTGGAGTAGCATGCTTGACCATGTAGCTATATGTATGGTGGTGGCTGTTATGTGCCGTCAAGTTGTTTGCAACTCATAATGACTGTATGCACAGAAGCTCTGACCTGTGTTCTATACTGAACCAACCTTATTGTTTCTGACACACCTATCCCCATATCCCCCAGTCACTGAGTCATTTCTCATTGAGGGTTTTCCTTTCTTGTTCTGTCCCCCCAACCTCCCAAGCATGACATTACTCACTAAGGACTGGTTCCTCCTTGTAACAAGCCCAAAGAATGTCAGATGGAGTTTAGAATCCTTGCCTCTAAGGAGCAGGCTGGTTTCATCCTCCCTAGGATGAACCTGCTTGTTTTCCTAGCAGTCCACGATATATTCAATACTATTCTCCAGCACCACAGCTCAAAGGCATCAATTCTCTGTCTACCATTCCTAATCATTGTCCAGCGTTCTGACATATAACAAGTAACTGCAAAGATTATGGCCTGGATCAGGCACACCTTAGTTTCCAGACTGACATTGTTGTTCTTCAGTACTCTGGAGAGGTCCCTAACAGCAATGCAATTTATCTTTTGATTTCCTGGCTGCTGGTACCAAGAGTGTTGATTGTGGAGCCAAGCAAACTGAAGCTGTTAATAATCTCAATCTCTTCACCATCTAACATGATGCTGCCAGTTGGCCCAGAAGTGGGAATCTTTGTTTTCTTGATGTTGAGCTTCAATCCATATTTAAGTATGGTACTAAGGATATTATTTTGGGGAAAGTTCCTCTTTATAAAAAGGGTATTAGTCAGACTCAGTCTTCCCTACATCATTGCATCTTCTCCTTTTATACATAACATGTGCTGGAACTTCATTCTTTTACTACATTATGTTTAGGTAATGATCTTTTAAAGTACAATTTAGGAAAAAAACCAGTAAGCCTTTACCACATTTAAAGTCAAAAGTTCAGTTGTTTAAGCTTTGTTTCCTAAACTGAAAACATGTAATAGATTGAAACTGTTTTCCCTGTTAAGAGGAATATGAAACATTTTCTTAATGGATATTCCTGTCAATGGCTTGTCTAAGTACAATATATTTAAAGTTTTGTGGGTATCATTCTAGAAATTAGGGGAAATATTTCAAAGAATATCTTAAAAGCTACTTTTCCTGGAACATTAAGTTCTTAGGAGGCTATTTTAAAATTAGAATAACTAAGATGACTGCCAGTATGATAATTAGATAACATACTAAAAATCATAAAATATGGTGAAGAACTCTCTAGGTTAAAACCTGAAATACCTTGTAATAAGAAGAAAAGTAAGTTTAGAAGAGGTCATATGGACTGTTATTAGCTTGGTTTTGACATTCATCATATGTCATAATAAATGCAGGTTAATGTTTTAACAAAGGTACAGAGTTATGTAAAGCCCTACATGTGAAATAGTAAAAAGAGCTCTGCCTAGTGATGCTTCCAAAGACCTTGTTATGAGAATATATCTTTAATATACTCAAAGTAGAACAAAGAAAAATTCATTTACAGTTAAATAAAATGGTCTGTGTAAAAAAACCCAAACACCCAGAACTCGTTGCAGATATATTACTGCAATTTTAAATTTCCCACTTAAAAACAAAAGCTCATGGACACACACACACACACACACACACACACACACACACACACACTCACTCTCTCACTCTTTCTCTGTGGTGTGGCATAGTCCTTAGGGAGTTGTATTCATAACCCAAAGGTGGTACCTGTCTTGTGGTTTGAATCAACTAGATGTTCTCTGTGAGGAAAAGATGGACAATCTCCAATGGTGGTGTTTATTGCCTTCCAAAAACCCACTGGAGGATCAGCTAAGGATCAGTTCCAATTCAATGGTAATAAGATGATGATGATATTGAGATAATGATATTAAAATTATATTAATTTTATATTAATAGTATCTAGTAACAGAAATATATTCTCAAATATAACATTAATATTATATTAAATAGCACATATATAGTTTAATGCCAAATAACTGTATTAATTATGTTGTTGTTGTGTACCATAGAGTTGGAACCAACCCACAGCTGACCCTCTGACAGGTTTCAGAGGCGAGGAGGAGATTTAACTGCATGGGAGGAGATTGTCCATCCTTCCCCCACAGAGCAGATGGCGTTGAGCTGCATGCCTTTGGGATTGCAGTGCAGCTTCTTGCCACTATGCCATCAGAGCTCCCCATATTAAAAATTAATTAGATAGTGGTATCATTTAGAACAATGGAAAATGTTCTGCTGAAATAGTATGTTCCTGAGAAGCTAAGTATGACTTCAAACGATTTTTACAAAATAATTTTCTTCTTGAATGTGTTTTCTGTTTTTATTTGTGAGTAAGGCTTACTGTTGTCTGCTGTCAAGTTGGAACCAACTCACAGCTAACTCCCAGTGGGTTTTCAGAAGCAGAAAACTGCACTGGATGAACTGCCCATCGTTCCTCTGCAAGGCAGGTGGTGGAATCAAACCATGAGTCTTTGTCATGGCTGTGCAGATCCTTACCCGCTAGGCGAGAGCTCTCCTTATTAAAGGCTTAAATGGAGATATTTTTAGTTTACTTTTCTACTGGCTACCTCCTACAGACTTTGGTAAGTGTTTTCTTGTTTATCTCAGCTTGTAAATAAACATTTAAATATAGCATGGAAATTCTTACTGCTAAATGAATCTACAACTGTGAAATAAAAAATGATAGATATTTGTACAAATAATTTTTAATTTGAATTTTGGTTTCCCATTCATCCTTTCTGAGGTTACATACGTAAAACTAGCACAAGTGGTTAGGTGCTCACTTTCTAACTGTAAGACTGATGATTTTGAATCAGTGACTCTCTGGCAAAAATATACGACAACTGCTTCTCTAAAGATTATGGAAACCTTATGGGGCAATTCTACATCATTCTCTAAGGTTGCTCTAAGTAGGAACCAACAGCAATGATTTTTCTTTTCTTTGTTTGTTTGTTCTGGCTTCCAAATGTCGTGAGGAAATTTCCCTCACCTATCTGCCTCACATTGTTGCAAAGTCATCCTGGTGGTATAGTGGGGTTATGTATTGGGTCAGCTACTAACCAAAAGGTTGACAGTGTGAGTCCACTAGCTGGTTGGAGGCAGAAAGAATAGGCAGTCTGCCCGCATTAAGACATCTCACCTTGAAAACTTGATGGAAGATTGCCGTGAGTTGGATATGACTCAACAGCAATGGTTTGGGGACATATGGTTAAGGAATAGGGAATTAACGCTCCCACTCATTTTTTACCAAAAGGGCTCTTGAAAAATCATCCAAAATCTACCTTTAAATAGTCGATGAAATGACATTTTTTCTGCAAATTTCCTTAGAGTTAACACTGCATCTGTGTAACTTCATGTCTATGTATCACGAGAGACAAGTTTACTTCACGCAGAGGCAACCATTAGGACTGTTTGAAATCCTGGGGAATTTTAACTTAGTCAATTTCCAAAATACAAATTAAAACTTTATTTAAAAATTGTGGCTTTAAGGAATAAATGTCTATTCTTAAAAGAGAGCCTTTCTCCCAAGTACATGCATCTTTGAGTTTTGCAACATGTGAAAAAAAAAGTCTTACTGCCCTAAAAGAACTAAACACATTAAGAATGATGACTCAATTTGCCTGGAAGTGCTTTGTAATCCATTCATGTAGTACTCTATTGTTTCATTAAATCTTGTTTAACATGCAAGTTATAAATGAGAACGGAAGGCAAAGATGACTTAAATATTGTGCTTACCTGAACAGCATCAAAATACATTTTCTTAGCTTCTACATCTGTCTTGTCAGACATTAACCATGCCTTTAGCAAATATTCATAAAAGCTATCTCCAAGTCCTCCAACTGATACGTGATCTGAAAGAGAGGAAAATGAAGAATCTTAGCATGATACAGCCTTTAATTCAAAGAACACAGCAAAATTACATCAGCAACTAGGATCTAAAAACCCTATGTAATCTGCAACTTAGTGTGAAATTCAAACTCTAACAAATCTCTAATTTTCAGAAAGATATTCTGAAGTGCACAGACGTGCTGCTAGATAATGTGATATACTTGAAATAATTATCAGGGTAGTTTTGTAAATACGAAGATAATCTCCTATAATTCCAAAAAAAAATCTGATTCACTAGTTAAAACAGAATGACAAAATATTTCACAGCATCTATTCAAATGAAATTTTTAATTGCTTTAACTCTCAGTAATGAAAAATCCCACCAAAGCTATACATATAAGCTTATAACACCAGCTTGTGATAATGCATATAACCCTGAGTTCTTGCCGTTATAATTGAGTAATAATTTTACTAGTGTCATTTCACTGGAAGGTCAAAATCCGAGAAGTGGGTCAAGCAGGAAGAGAGCAGAGGGTGAGGACAGGAGAAGTTTTCCTTCCTCAATACTCCATCCCTGATGATCCTCATCTAAGGCAGCACCTTTTTCTAGATCCACCGTGTATATTGGCAACAATTTTGAAACTTGCAAGGTGGATATCACTACCCTCATCTAAAAAGTGAGAAAGCAAGCTTCGAGAGTTCTGTGAGATTAACATGTTGAAAACGTTGCCTGACTCCGGGAGCCTTCCAGCCTCACATTATGATCTCTGCTATCTAATGCTAAATGTATTCTTTTTTCCTACTACTTGCATTAATATTTTATTATTTAAGTATGTTTGCCTAAAAACCACAGACATAATGAATTATTGTTCCTATAATTCTTAGAGAATTTGAGCATTAATAAGAGTGACTTACAATTCAATGGGTGGGTGGAAAGGATCTTTTGTGAAAAACAACGTATTCGAACTTTGTAAATAAATCAGTTTAAAATGAAAAAAAGCATTGTTTTTCATAATGCAAAACTAATTTAATTCATCTAAATAAAAAAAAATTCCATTAGCTTCATGGGAGAAACATAGGCAATCTCCTCCCTTGTGAAAACCAATTGGAGGGTCACCTGTGAGTTGGTTCTGACTCAAAGACAACAACAACAGTGGTGAAATAGATCAGTGCAACCCCATGGAGTAGACAGAACCACATTAAAGTTCTATATTTGTAGTTCACCAACCCTACAGAAGCAGAATATGACATCTTTCTCCCTCAGATAACCTGGTAGATTTGATCAGTCAGCCTTTTGATTAGCAGTTGTGCATGCAAGCACTGCCTTGTCAAAATGAAAGTCAAAGTCACCATCATAGAGTTGGGGGACCGATTTAGAGCTGACTCTCTGGTGGGTTTCTGAGTCTGTAAACTGCCTAGGAAGAGAGTGCCCATCTTTGTCTTGCAGAACCAGTGGAATGTTCAAACCATGACAGAGTGCTGCCTTGGTTAGCAGCATGACTCCCTATGGCCTGCTCCACCAGGGCTCCTCTACTTCACCATCAGTACTTCTTTACTTGCTGACTTTGTTATAGAAAAAGAAATCACTATTTACAGAGTCACCAGGAAACTGACTACTAATACCTACCCAGTAACTCTAGTAGAAATCAAATAGGCACTTGATAATGCTTCTTTTCCTGTTTCTACCCCCTCACTCCCTTAGGGAAGCCAAAACCTATTAATTGTACCTCCTAAACACCTCTGACATCTGTTCCTTTCTGTCCTTGCCAAGATGATTCTTGACCAAGATGAGACTATCTCTTAGCTCCGAGTTTGCAGTGATGATTAACTAGTATTCTAAGTTCAGCTCTTCAGTCACACTAGTGTTCAACAGCAATGTGTACTGGAATGGAAGAGGGAAGATATGAAAGTTTTTCATCATTGCAGAAAGTTCCAGTGCCATCTCTTCTGCACATTAATGCAGAGGAGCCGTAATAACATCAATTAGATCATCCTCTTCTTGAAGTCTGTCAAAGGAAAAGGCTCAGATCCTCAAGGGGCCCAGGAAGCCCCTGTGATCTTAATTTTCTTGATAGCATCAGTCTTACTTCTTTGCTCCTGGACATCTTCCTTTTGGTCTATTAAAAATACTAGGCCCCTTCTGATCTCAGAGGATCCATAAGTGGTTTTCCTCTTTATATAATATATACTTTCAGACCACTTTTGTGATTGGCTAATTCTTACTCACACACAGGATCAACTATTCCTTCCCTATATCCCTTACAGGGTTCTCTTGTTGTGTACTGTGAGGTCCGAACTGACCCACAGCTGACTCTCCAGTGGGTTTTCAGAGGCTGTTAATCGCATGGGAGGAGACTGGTCATCCTTCTCCCGCACAATCACTTATCAGATGCTTCTTTTTAAAAAAAAAAAAAAAATACAGCATACATCTATCATTTCTGGACCTTAATAATGTGGTGGAATTTTTTTCTGTTTCACATGAGACCATAATGCAGGACAGTGAGGACAGGCTTATTATGTTTCCCAGTGTATGCCAGCTTTTCAAAAGTGTCTTTTTCAAAGAAATAAAACCTATCTATCACATGGGGAAACGGCAACCTCTTCAACAAACGCTACTGGCAAAGTTGGATTGCCACCTGCAGAAAGCTGATGTAGGATCCACATCTCACATCAGAGACCTGGGAGTAAACCATAAAGTTCATAAGAGACAAACTGGGATCAAGCTTAAGATGGTCTAGTCTATAGTATAACAAGGCTGACAAATACAGGCAAAAGTGCACTCTGGAGAGGATAAAATTGATGAATGGGACCTTCTAAAGATTAAGTCCCTGTGTGCATAAAAATTTTTTTTCAAATAGGGTGAGAAGAAAACCTACCAACTGGGAACAAACATTTGGCAATACCATCTCAGACAAAGATCTCAAAACAAAAGTTTACAGAATACTCCTGAGCCTCCACAAAACAAAATTTGATAACCCAATTACAAAATGGACAGAAGACATGGAAACTGTTCACAGAGGAAGACAATGATAGCCAACAGGTTCATAAAGTGAAATGCTCAAAATCACTGGCAATAGGAGAGATGGAAATCAAAACCACATTAAGATATCATCTTACTCCAGGAGCAGTGTCAAAATTTAGCAGGGCACCAAGTAATAAATGCTGGAGAGGTGGGAGCTCTCATACACTGCTGATAGGACTGTAAAATGGTACAACTACTCTGGAAGGTGATTTGGCATTTCCTCAAGAAGTTGAACACAGAAACTCAGTATCGCGCAGCTATTCTACTACTAGGAATATACCTCAAGGAAATTAGAACTGAGACACAGAGATTTATATATCAATGTTCATAGCAGTGTTATTCACCAGTGCAAGAACATGGAAACAGCCCAAATGTCTAACCACAAGCGAACAGATTGAGAAATTGTAGTATAGTCACAAAATAGAATACTATGGAGGGATGATTTTGAAAAAAATATTACATTAACTTTGGAAAGACTGGAGAATATTATGCTGAGTGAACTAACTCCTAAGGACAAATACTGAGTAAGCCAATTATTATAAAAATAGAAGGATAACTTGTAAAACATATATGGGGAACAGACGGGTGAGGATGGGTAGAGGTGAAATCACAGGGTTGCACAATTTGGAGGGTGGAGGGAGGAGATAAAGGAATTGGGAAAGATCCAGAGGGGACCTAAAAAGATAGGGTTGTGGTGGGCATAGTCCAAAGGTGATAATTTTATAAAGAATGATTGTATGAACTACAACATGAGTTAAGAATAGTGTGAAGCAGAATATATACAAACTTTGTATGCAAACCAATATAAAATAAAAAAAAATTTAAAAGGAAAGGGGGAAAAAAAAGTCTTCTTGCACATAATACATACTCCATCAACAGCTGACAGGTTGGTGAATAAAGTTACGTTCTTCCAAAAGCACCTTAAAAAGGAACTGTATCTGTTTAAACTAGAAGGGACAGCTTTTTAAGCAGATTAAATCTATGATTTTCTAATTGCAGAAAATCCAGAATTACAGTTTTAATTTTCATGTATAATCGGTTTTTAAAATTGTAAGGCTGATTCTTAAAATAGCAGGGTTTGAAGTGACCTTTACAGCTTCCTAAATAAATCACCATGGAAAACTCTGACATTTGCAAACTGAACAGACTAAGTACCATCTCATCAATAATAAGCCCTGTTGTTATAAACATGATTGCAGGAGACAAATGCACGTGATGCACGGTAAAGCAAACCACTGTCCGGTTACTGTCAAAACAACAAGGACTGAATGAAGTAATGGGAAGTGGCCATGATCCAGACATGCCCCCCGGGGTTACAGCAGTCAGGGCTGAAACTAGCAGTCAGAAGCATCTCAACACCCCCTCACTTGCTAGGATGGTAATAGGGAAGAAGTGAGTTTAGGTATTTGGGGAATATTTTTAAAAGGAAAAAGGGAAAAAAACCCCGACATCTTTTTTTAACGACTTTTGGTAAGTGCTAGGAAATTCCCCATTTTGTATTTCCTGCTTAAAATTTTTCACATATGACCAGAATCAAAACAAAGGATCATACAACAACAAGGAGAAGTAGGAGAAAGTCTTAATATTTTAGCTCATCACCCACCTACTTCCTCCAGGTCTGGCTATTTGTACTGGCAACAGAGCCCCGTATAAACTACTTTGTGGATGTGGGAGAGAACATGCCTGATTTTATCAGCTGACAAGGTTCACCTACCTCTACAAACAACAAACAGTATTTTTAAGGTCAGGTTCTCTAAGTGTAATGCATGCTGTTAAGTCACTCAAATACTATGATTTTCTCTAATTGAATCTATAGTTTTCTTTCTGATTAGGAATACTCTTTCTGCCAAGTTGATTTTGACTCAGAGTGACCTTAGAGGACAGGGTAGAACTGTGCCATAGGGTTTCAAATCTCAGATTGTTACATCTTTCTCACATGGAGCAACTACTGTTGTTGTTGTGTTGTAAACGAGTCATAGTGACCCTATGAATGTAAGACCA